GACCAACCTGGGTACATGATCGAGAGGCGGCGGCTTTTCAACTTGGACACGCGCGACCTGGTTCAAGATATCTCGAGAGTGGACTGGACAGCCAACCCTCAGATCATCGACGATGTGGCATCGCAAGACCCCATCACGATCATCGAGGAGATCACTCTGGGAAAGGAATAGGAAGCTGGAGATGGACCAGGAGGTGGCCAACAGCCTGCAGCAGCCCCGCAGGGGCCTACCAACACCGACGAGACCATGGAGGAACCTAAGGAGGTGAAGCGGGGAGGCAAGAAGCACGCCAAGAAGGGCCTGAAGCTCAAGCAGACCAAGCGGGACGACGCTCAGGACGATCGAGCTTAGCTTCGAGTACCTGCCAGGATCTAGAGGCACATGGAGGAGCGCCAGGCGGAAGAAACGGCAGCAGTACCAGCAGAGGCACCGCAGGATCAGCCGGCTACATCATCGTCAAGTACGCGACAGCCTGCGCAGGACAAGCGCCAGGAGCACCCAGCCACGATCAAGGAGTTCTTGCTGGACGATGTGCCGATCAGCATCAAGCGAGCCCGGGCACAGACTGGGCCAGTCAAGCAGCTGGCAGATGCACCGCTACTCGTCGAGGCGTTCGTGGCCGAGCGGATGCGCAGCCAGCCGACGAGGGCCAACAAGCATCAAGAGATCAACTTGAAGACGCTGGGCGACGACAAGCTCAAGTGGAAGAAGATGCAGCAGACGGCGGAGAAGGAGTGGAACACGCGGTGCAACCACGATGCAGCAACCCACATATCAGGGGCAGCAGTCGACAAGGTCGACCCGGACAAGAAACTGAGCTCCAAGGTGGTCTGGACCGATAAGGACCCCGCGACCTTCGAGCCGAAGGCCAGGATCTGCGGGAGAGGCTACGTGGAGGAGTTCGACGACAAGCTACGACGGGACTCACAGACAGTCTCAGCACAGATGACGTTACTCCTGCGCAGCATCGTATCAAGCCTCAACTTGGACCTAGTCATCGCAGATGTGGGAGCCTTTCTGCAAGGCAAGGCCATCGCACGCAAGCTCTACTTCCGTATCCCGACGAACCTCGGGAAGTGCAACATCCCGGGAGTGAAGGCAGGCGACCTGCTGAAGTTAAACAAGAGCATCTACGGGACCAACGATGCAGCTCGCGCGTGGTATGTGGCACTGCGCGAGACGCTCGTGAAGCTTGGATGGGAAGGCCTGAGCTTCGAGCCCGCAACCTTCATCAAGCGCAATGCGAAGGGCACGATCATCGGGATCCTTTGCCTGCGCGTGGACGACTTCCTCATGGGCATCAAACAGGACGACCCGGAGGGCGCCAAGATCATGAAGGACCTGCAGAAGGAGATCGACTTTGGCGAGGTCAAGTACGCGAGGAAAGAGCAGGCGACGTTCTGTGGTTGGGCCTACAAGCAGGACGAGGATGGCAGCATCAACGTCACCATGGAGGCCTACGTGAAGTCGATGCTGACTGCACGTATCTCCAGAGAGCGCAGCAAGGCACCAGATAGCGCCTTGACCCATGCAGAGCATCGTGGACTACGAATGGTGGTTGGACAACTGCAATGGGCTGCGCGAGTGATATGCTTCGAGGAAGCCTTCGCGGCATCCTGACTGGCATCTACGCTAGGAGCTCCGACGGTGAAGGACCTACAGGACGGCAACGCGGCCATCAGGCGGATCCAGAAGCGGACCGACTTGCTGATTAGGTTCTCAGCAGGCCTGAACCTGTGGAAGACCATGGTGATCAATGTCACCGACAGTGCTTTCGACAATCTGCCGAAGCACAGATCACAACGTGGACACTTCATCATGCTGGGCGACCAGAAGATCAACGAGGGCCACAGCAACAAGTAGAAGGTACACTGCATTGGGTGGCAGTCTTCCAAGATTCAACGAGTGGTGCGATCTACTCTCTCGGCGGAGGCCTACTCATGTGCGGATTCGGTGGACATGTTGATATGGACGAGGTCGACCCTGGCGGAGATCCTGTACCCGGAGATGGACATGACCGAGATTGTGCACGACACCTGCCCGGTGAAATGCATTTCGGTGACCGACTGCAAGAGCCTATACGACACGATCACAAACGAGAAGATCTCAATGACGGACAAGAGGCTTTCTCTGGAAGCGGCTAGATTGAGGTAGTCACTCAAGGAGGTCAGCATCAAGTGGGTCAAGAGCGAGCAGATGCTAGCGGACTGTTTGACGAAAGTACTTCCAGGAGGCTACGCGAGGAAGATAGTTACATCAAATTTGTGGACTCTTGGGCCTGATGACAGGGCACCGTCGATACACGGACGAAAGCTTGTTGGACCAGAGAAGGTGGCAGCCAACAAAGAGGTGGACGCGCTAAACGCGAAGATGGCCAAGTACGTCAAGCAGGAGCTGTGCGACGACACCGGGAAGGACGACGAGGAGATCTCTACGTGGCCGGTGGAGACGTACAACTACGTGGATGAGTGCTTCTACGACGACAAAGACGAAGCTCAATACGAGGACTACGTCGAGGCATTCTACCAGGAAGAGCTAACGGACAACTACCCGATGGAGAGGAGTGGCGCGCAGAGAACCATCCAGATACCTGACCAAGTTGTAGTTCTGTTTCAACTCTGTGCACTTGCAGTGTATGGAGTTTGTCTTTCGATGTCTCCTACGGTGGTGACATTAGTCTCTATCATCGCGGGTATCATCATATTCATCTACATAATGCAGCCTAAACAGAACGACGACGAGGACACGGCTGAACCGATGGAGGTGGATAGTTCAAGCAACGACAACCTGTTCAAGCCGGAGTTGCCCGAGAAGCCGGTCAAGGTCAAATCCAGGACGGCGAAGGCTACGCCGAAAGCTACGACGACAACACTCGCAGTAAGAGCCGAGCCAGAGACCTACGATGACGAGATCATGGGAGATGGACCAATCATGCTGGGAGATAGTGCTCTACTGAGGCAGTGGCTGGAGACCATGGGACCGACGATAATCAGGAGTGGCAAGTACGAGGGTGACAGCTACGAGACGATCTATACGAAGGACAGGCACTACGCAAATTGCCTAGGACGGTGTCTCAAGCTGGACGCAGACGAGAGCAGGAGTTATAACCTCGACCCAAGCATCAAGAGCTACATTGAATACAGCATCGTCAAGTCAGCAGTGCGTGTACGCTGAACCCCACTACCACAAATGTGACGATATCTTTGAGCCAGCCATGGCAGTGGCTCAGATGTGAACGGTGTGGGAATGATGAGTGATTTGGACTACCATTTACAGATGATGAGTGAATTGGAGTACTATTTACATATGCTGAGTGAGAGCACCCCCTCAAGAGCTCAGGTAAATATTTGTTTTATATCTTGATATCTGTTGCTCGGTGCGTGGATTTTTGTATCTGAATATCTGTTGCTTGGTGCGTGGATTTTTTTATTGTGATATCTGTTGCTCGGTGCGCGGACGGTAGCTTGACCGTTCGAGCCGATAATATTATTGAATATTCTAGAAGCTTGCTGCAGAATTTGCCAAGGCATTCTTTAGCAACGTTTCCTTTTCCTGTGTGAAAGTTGTATTAGCAGGGATGTGAGATATAGGATGATAATTACAATTATCTCTGCTGCTGCTCTCGCTCGCTCATGCTTGCACTCTCTTGTTCACCGCGGCCGTTTTGGCTGTGGACCCGCCAGCTGTGGCGGGAGGGTGGACGCACTCAACGACTGTCTAGCCTGATTCGGTATAACATCAGATCACACTCTATCTATTTCTTCTTTCATCAAGAGGTTGTGGGTGGAGAGATTTGGATCAATATTTACAGGTGGGGACGGTGGTGGTGGGGACAGTGGTGTGGGGACAGTGGGAATGAGGTGGAAACAGTGGGACAGTGGAGGGTACAATGGTGGTGGGGACAGTGGTGAAGGCGGTGGCGAGGACGGCGGTGGGACAATGGGACAGAGGTACAGTGGAGACAATGGTGGGGACAGTGGGGACAGTGGTGGGAACAGTGGGACAGCTCAGTGGGACAGCGGAGGAGTCAGTGGGACAGTGGGGACAGTGGGGATAGTCGGGCAGTGGTTGGGGCCGTGGAGACAGTGGGGAGAGTGGAACCGTGGTGGGAACATTGGTGGGGACAGTGGGGACAGTGCGACAGTGGTGGGGGCACTGGTGGGCTCAGTAGGGACGGTGGTGGAACCAGTGGGGACAATGGTGGTGAGGACAGTGGTGCTGGGAACAACAGTGGGGGATGTGATGCGGACGGTGGTAGGGACCGGGAGTCGTTTGCTGGCGGTGCGTGGGGGGGGGGTCGAACCGGTAGTGACCCCCCTCTGGTTTTCGAGGGGGGGGTTCGAACCGTTAAAACCCCCCCCGGTTTTCCGGATCCGGAGGGGAGGGGGGGGGGGGAGGGGTTCGAACCGGTAGTGACCCCCACCGGTTTTCGAGGGGGAGGGGGGGGGGGGGGGTTAGGGGAGGGGGGGGCTTTGCCGGGGGGGGAGGGGGGGGGGGGGTTCCAGCAGGGGGGGGGGGGATTTTCGGGGGGGGGGGGGGCGACCCCCGGGTTCCGGAGGAAAAGGTGGGCAATTTTCCATAGTAAAGCGGCGGTGGATCACGCTCTCTCGGTTCTTGAAAAATTGCCACCACAGCGCCATGGGTCGGAAGGGGCTCCAGAGAGACCCTCACCCGACCCATGTACTCCCCAGGCCCCCCAGGAAACCAGACACTCCTGGCCAACCGTCCGAGGGGAAGGCGCGGCATGAGCCTAGCGGTCCAGCGGCGTTTGAGCTTCAAGCAGAGCTGTCCCCTGCCATCCGCGAGCTCGATGGCGTGAATGTTGTGCAGGGCGAAGGCAAACACAGTCTTTCCAATGATCTGCTCGCCGATCTCTTGAAATCCAAGGCCGCCCTGACGACAAAGTAACATGCACTGGAAACCACGCTGCCGGAACAATTGGTCTGGAGACTCTCCCCCATCTGGTCTCGCGAACATAAGAAGAAGATGCGCAGAGCTGCCTTGCCCTTGCCAGGCTCCTCCATGAGATCTTCAATCTTGGTAATCTGCCGCGGCAGGCGAGAGGGCGATGGAAAGGGCAAACACAGGCGCAAGACTACCCGTTTGCCCTTGTCTCTGATCTTCCGCTCCCCCTGCAGGAGACGTTGAGATTGCTGTGGCCATGCAGTTCGTGCCTCCCATCACGATGCCCAGCGGCTTCTGCCTCCTAGAAGCAAGGGGACCTCTGCAAAATGATAGTCTTTCCGATGTTGCGGACACATTGGCCGAACATAACAAACGCTGGTGCAACTTGACTCAACAATAAGAGGACGTATAGGGTATAGGTGTACGTATTAGACTCTGGGCGAGCCCGCCCGTCATAGAGGGTGTGGGGTAGCGGGGGGAGGGGGGTGGACAAGATTATGCCAAGCAGCCCAACGAAAGATTCAAGAACACCTAACGCTACGTTGACGCAATGTTGCACCACATGGCGCTGGTGACATTGGGCGTCGCACTTGCTATTGGTGAGTGTAATCATCCACCCCGCACACGGGAACATCTCGGTTGTTAACATTACGTTGATCACCCGGGAAATTCCCACAATTCCTCCCCCGTTGCCGCCAATATTGCGTGTGACGGGATGGGGGGGCAAATGTAAAAACATGTGTGCAAAGGCCAACTCACATTGATACAACATGCTGTCGATGTACGGCAATGAAGCCCAGCCGTCCCACAAACAATGACGATGACGACGGAGAGAAAACGTAGGAGGAGCAGGAGGGGGGGTGTCCGGAGTCAGGAGGATACGAATCTTTTGGAGTCGTATGAGCAGGAACTTTACAAATATGCTGCCGAATCAGCTCAACAACAAATGCAACGAGGCCAGCGCTACAACAGACCCCGCAGACGCGGACGGAAATGAGCCCCCCGCCCGCGCGCATTATGTTGACAAACCAATCGGAACCCCAAGTCCAACGCGGGCACAAATTTCCTTAACTGGCCAAAACGTCTTCGACTTGAAATGGATTCGCGTGAGCGGAACCTCCCCATGTCTACTCTATCTATTCCGTCTGCTCTATCTACTCCCTCTCCTCTCTCTGAACTCTACCGCGCACATTCTGGCATCCACTATGTGCTCTTCCACTCTACACTCCCTCGACAGTCCCACCCAAATGGTCCGACCCACAGGGGTCCGCCCATACGGTCCTGCACATAAAGTACCTCCCGCGAAGGCCCACACATAGAATCCCCGTCATAAGGTCCCAACCGCAGGGTCCCACCCATGAATTCCTCCCTGACAGAACTCCACCCACCCAGCCTCAAACATGAGGTCCCGTCCAATGAGGCCGCCTACCAGGTACAGTCTCTGCTCACAGGACGTTCGTGTGAGACCAAAGGGAAACCCATGAGTGAGTTCTTTGCAGCAGAAGCGACACAGTGGTTGTGCCAATCGCAATTGCATAATTGAGCTCAGGATAAACCACCACCGTGCCCTCGGCACAGAGTGGAATGTTCTCAAGTCCCGTTCGACTTGGCTGCATTGAAAACTGCATGTGCTCTTTACGAATCGAAGACTTCAGACTTCTGTGCGCTCTGGGGCGCTCTCAGGGCTTCCCGCGCGAGCTTCGTCATCACTGATGGGGGAACGCACGTTCTCAAATGTCCGGCCCTGGAGGGAGAACCCGCCCTGGGCCAGCGAACCCTCTCATAAAATGATTGCGGGCCCCCAAGAGTCAAGACCGCCAAGAGGACCCCAGAGGCCCGCAGAAGCGCCACGGGGCGCCCAACATGCCCCCAAGATGCCACCAACATCCGCCCAGGAGGCCACCACTGGCCGCCAAGATGCCCCCCAGGATGCATCTCCAGAGACCGTAAGGGGCATACAAGAGGACTCTGGTCCACCACCCACCCCACGCACTCCCCCTCTGCGAAGCGAAGCTTCACACGCAGCTCTCTTTCCACCTCGCAGCCGGCAGTGCTCCCGCCAACTGTACTCGCTCTCGAGACGTCCTTCGTCGTATTGTCCCGCGCAGCACGTCACCACACAATCTGGGAGATAGGATATAGAGAAGTGGAAGTGGTAGGGTATTGGGCTCTTGACTAGAAGGTAGGAAATAGGTGGGGCCTCTCCAAACCCTGGGGCCCTGCTTGTCCTCGACAAAGGCCTGTAACTAACACGGCTGTGGATAGAGCGACCTCAGAAACATTCTGACGCCTAGATCGGTAGATCGACACCGATCGCTCCAAAACCACAGCCTGGGCCTGGGCGAACGGGCAGCCAGCTAAGTCTAAGAAAATAACCCCAGATATCCGGACGCAGATCTAGGCTCTGTACCGTCTCTATGGCCGAAATCCCGAGTCCTTTTTCGCTTTTTTCGCCGATTCAAACATATGCGATGACATTAGTCTCCACCTACACGCATGACCGAAAACAAAAAAACATATATATATATATATATGCCACCTTTTGTGGCCCTTGGTTCAACTGTGTGCAAGCATAACGTCACCGGGCACTCACATGCCAGGACTCCGTTTCGCAGGCTAACAGTTCAAGTCCGGTTCGATACTCTTTTCCTCACATGAGCTTCTCGGGACAACGCAGTCGAACAGAAAGATTCTTGGAATCGGCAACTAAAACTCCTGGGGCCCTTTTTCACATCCAGAAAAACTCTGAAAGCAGAAACCTCACATACGTAACCTCGTCCTCGGCATCGACTGCGGCTGAAACTTCCGCCGCCGGCGGAGAGACTGCACGCTCGCTCGACCTCGCCCGACCGCCAGCTCATGAGAGATACTCTGGTCTCCTCACCTGACAAGAACGACGACGGCACTACCCCGATGATCCTGCACTCCGTCGACTTCCCGTCGATGCTATGGGCAGACGACGCCTCGCCCCAGACAACAACAGCCAGCTGGTCTTCACTCTTGACTGAGATAATATCAAAACAACGTTCTGACAACTCCATCGCCCGGCGGATCAGCTCGTTGACTTCCTGCTCTGCAGTAAATTTAACTCCGCGGGAATGCCAAGACCCGTCTGTGAACCGTTCCACTGTAAGCTCCCAATGGCTGCTCTGAACGGATTATTCTCGGACTCCGTCACTGATGACGACGTCTGCTCCCGGCGCTCTGGCAGGATCTCGATATCCTCGATCTCTTCCATATACAACTTCTGGCTCACTTGGAAACTCCTGTCTGCCTTTTGCGTGATGTCAACGCCACACTGCGTGAACGTCCCGCACTCCCACTGTCCACCTGAGAGCTCCCAGGATATGCTTCTTCGCCGTGGCCCACATCTCATCATCATCGTCGCGCCCGGCAAACAAAAAGTCATCCGCGCGAGACAGCGCCATGCCGCGTGCGCGCTCAGGTTGGCCAGCAGCCCCTGGCGCCGTTGGAACCCAGACGCATGGGTCCGATCCCAGCTGTCTCCAGGAAAACTTCCACAAACTTCTTGTTCACGGCCCGGTGCCATGCCCCTGGAGCCTAGGCCAGACCATGCGCAGACTTCCCGAGTAGTGCCACCTGGCCACGTCGACGGCCGAGTAGCTCAGCTATATCGCCAGTCGGCCGCGCGAGAAGATCACGATCCAGCTCCTCGCCTCGAGGAAGGGCCGACTTCACATCGCCCTTCGCCACTCTCATCCTGTAGTGAGCCGCCTTCTGCAGGACGACTTGCCTAGCTGTTCTCGTCGCCGTCGGCGCATGTGAGTCTTCCGTGGTCTGGTCGGGGCCCTGGGAGCCCAGCATCGCCGGCCTCGTCTTCGCTTTCTCCCCGCAGGGTTCAGCAGGGTCGATCTTCCGCGTTAGAATCCAGCGAAGCCGCATCATCCTGTCCGCAGGTGCTCGTACATGTTCTGGCAGCGCCTCCAGCACCATGACCAGCCCCTGCGCCTCCTTCGTCTTGGCCTTCTGGAACTAGTCCAGGTCCTCCGCGGACAGCCGTCTTTCCTTGACCTCCGCCGTTGACGACGAAGTTGTGTTGCCGCGTGTGTTTGTAGATCTCGGATCGCGTGAATCGCATGACCGCTCCGAGCGCCTTCAGGCATGGTGATCTCCACCTCTACAGCGTTCTCCTCCAGGTTCCAGTAGCACTCCTTCACCTCTGGCTGACTCATCAACGACTCCTGCTCCTCCCCCTGCCTCTTGTGTCTTTCAGTGCGCTCCGTGACGTGCTTGGGCTCCGGCGAAGCCTCCTGGCGTAGACCATCCAATGAATTTGGCGATGTTCTCGCTGAGGGCCCCCTGGACTTGCCGGGGGGCCTCGCCGGGGCCGCTGGGGAAGTATCTGCCTGAGAACTCGAGCTTCCTCTAACTGTCGCTGGATCGGTCATCATCACCTACCTTCGCCTTCTGGCCATGCTCCTCAGGGCTGCGTTTACCTCTTAGGCGATGTCGTGGTCCAGCCTCCGTCACTGCATGCAGAGGTGGTGCTGTCGTCGCCGCGCCCTCGTAGTCCTTGTCGTTCAGAACGAGACGCTGATCCCCCGCCAAATCCTCACGCTGCCCAGGTCGAAGATTGCTCGTCACGCTGTTGAACGTCCATGGTAGCTTAGGTCCGTGCACGATCCAATGCTCAGCAACCTCTCGACCCGAAACATCTCTGAGTTGGGGGGGATCATGTCGTATTAGCCGGCCACGCGCATTGGGCCATACTCGAGGTATTGCCTGAATTTCGCCGTGGCGATGGACAGTCCCACTTGCTGATGCCCGCGCAGGCCCATAATCTCCCGGTCATAAAACTGCTCCCCCGATTCCTGAAATAGCACACCAGAGCCCCGGGGGCAAAGACCTGCAACTTCCTGGACTTGGCATGGGCCGCGCGACATGCTCGCTCCGAGTATACCCGTCGAAGGGATGCCTCCTGCGCCTTCATCATGAGCTCGAAATTGTTCCCACGCTCAGCGCCCGCTGCTTCAGACTCCAGAGCAGGGATGTTCGTCGGGCCACCTGGGACCTCGACAAAAGAACCGCCCAAGTCAGGAGCCCTGCCAAGCGCAACTTGCAGCGGTGAGAACCCTCGATGACGATCGAACTCGCTGTAGGTAGCCATGGCTCTGGAAAA